TTCAGTAGGTTAGAACATATACATAAGCTATGAAGATAAGGTATAAAAATAATATTTTTTAGGTTGGATGGCGGCCTCTTTTCATTGTTCCAAGTCAGATACTGCATCAGTCTTATTCTGTCTAGACAGGTAGTCAAGTGGTTAGATCGTTAGCTTTAATACCCCGCGTTCGAATCCCACCTTTGAGCCTAAAAACAAAGTGATGGCATACTTTGGGATGCCAGATGCCAGCACGAGGGTTTGAGAGTACTGGCCGTTTTCAGACTGATAAAAATGCCCTCTCTGCTAGAACGTGTAACCGTCGTTTCTGTGGGTGTTGAACAAAAACAGATGCGCCTTCGCAGACATCTGCAACAGGGACTGACTACTCGCTATAGTAGACAGGCATACTCTGATATGAGCGGCCAAACAGTATCCTATTATAATTGTGTTTGCATTTTTCTTTGTTAGTTCACACGACCGTTACGCCCTGCCAAGATCGCATAGAAAGTAGGTAAAATACATTACTTGGCTTCAGTGAGAAAATGAAAGAAAGAAAGAAGGGAAAACTGAAATGGAGATAGAGAGATATATATATAGAGAGAGGGAGAGAGAAAGAGAATCAGTTTAAGCTAATAAGAACAGATACTAGTTGATCTTAGCCAAAAGGCCACAAAACCATTGGATTTTCTTACTGCCTGCCGCTGTCAAGATGTGACACAAGGTCCTTTTTAATGTGGGAAGTGCCTACTAGTGTTGCTGGGGCTAGGTCCGAAAACAGACAAGCCCAAGCAAACGTCAGTTGCTCTTGATTCAATATTACACACGATCGCCCCTTTTTACTTGGAATGAATGAGTTTTTTGTCGTGAGCACCAGTTTTTCAGGAACGTCGACCTCTCAGTATTATTTTTAGTTGCGCTAGCAGACAGAGGCGCAGCTGTCCGTAGAAAGAAACACAACTGAGAGATGAAATTCAGGGTAACTGCTCGAGGGCAGATAACACAGTTTGATCCCAGACTGAGAAGAAACTGCGATTGTGATAAAAGCTCTAATTATCAGATGCACACTGTTAAACGGTCGAAACAAATTAAAGCAATCGCCAGGGATACAGTCAAGATAAATAAAATAACACCGTCTACAGAATTATTTTAATATTATTATTAAGAGAAATGTTCGTAAGACGGGGATTTATCTGGTTATTATTATTATTATGTCTCTTATTAATATTAAGAAAAATATTCGTAAGACGGGGATTTCTCTAATTATTATCATTCTGTCTCTTATAATTATTAATAGAAATGTTCGTAAGACGGGGATTTCTCTAGTTATTATCATTATGCCTCTAAAAATTGTTAAGAGAAATGTTCGTAAGACGGGGATTTCTCTAGTTACTATTATTATTTCTCTTATTAATATGAAAGAAAAATGTTCGTAAGACGGGGATTTCTCTAGTTATTATCATTATCTCTCTTATAATTATTAAGAGAAATGTTCGTAAGACGGGGATTGCTCTAGTTATTATCATTATACCTCTAATAATTGTTAAGAGAAATGTTCGTAAGGCGGAGATTTCTCTAGTTGTTATCATTATGTCTCTTATTAATATGAAAGAAAAATGTTCGTAAGACGGGGATTTCTCTAGTTATTATCATTATGTCTCTTATTAATATGAAAGAAAAATGTTCGTAAGACGGGGATTTCTCTAGTTATTATCATTATGTCTCTTATAATTATTAAGAGAAATGTTCGTAAGACGGGGATTTCTCTAGTTATTATCATTGTGTCTCTTATAATTATTAAGAGAAATGTTCGTAAGACGGGGATTTCTCTAGTTATTATCATTATGTCTCTTATTAATACTTTCCTTAATTGCTGACTCCTCAAAAAACATTTCTTGATAGTCAAACATGCCAAAACAGATTGAGTGGTGAAAGTTGTTGACATGATGTTTAGTTAAAGAAATTGAAAGATCTGGATTTTAATTTAATTTGAAATATATTCTCTTGCTTATGTTACCATGGTAATATTTATTGATTCATAAAATTATCGATCTTGGAGTAAGAAAAACACAGTGAGAATGGTTTGATGCAATTTCTTTAGAGAGAAAAATGTTTGAAGTTTACAAACAGGCAGACATGTTTGTCTTCATATTTTACAAAAGTCTATTTTAATATAACATTAATAATAAATGATGAAATAAAGTTAAAACTAGTAATATTAGAAGAAGTAATATTACATAGAACTTTTATTAGAAAAGCATTATTCAAGCAATATTCATTTTGGACTATGATTTCTTTCATCTTCATTTCAATTGCTTTATTTCCACTAGTAGTATTAGTAGTATTAATATTATCTGCAATTTTCATTAGATGAAGTATTGTCAAGCATTATTTATTTTGGACTAGGATTTCTTTCATCTTCATTTCAATTGCTTTATTTCCATTAGTAGTATTAGTAGTAGTAATATTATCTGCAATTTTCATTAGATGAAGCATTGTCAAGCATTATTCATTTTGGACTAGATTTCTTTCATCTTCATTTCAATTGCTTTTATTTCCACTAGTAGTATTAGTAGTAGTAATATTATCTGCAATTTTCATTAGATGAAGTATTTCAAGCATTATTCATTTTGGACTAGGATTTCTTTCATCTTCATTTCAATTGCTTTATTTCACTAGTAGTATTAGTATGTAGTAATATTATCTGCAATTTTCATTAGATGAAGCATTGTCAAGCATTATTCATTTTGGACTAGGATTTTTTCATCTTCATTTCAATTGCTTTATTTCCACTAGTAGTATTAGTAGTAGTAATATTATCTGCAATTTTCATTAGATGAAGCATTGTCAAGCATTATTCATTTTGGACTGGGATTTCTTTCATCTTCATTTTCAATTGCTTTATTTCCACTAGTAGTATTTTAGTAGTAATATTATCTGCAATTTTCATTAGATGAATTGCATTATTCATTTTTTTTTTCATCTTCAGTAGTATTTCCACTAGTAGTATTATAGTATTAATTATCTGCAATTTTCATTAGATGAAGCATTATCAAGCATTATTCATTTCTTTCATCTTCATTTCAATTGCTTTATTTCCACTATTAGTATTAGTAGTAGTAATATTATCTGCAATTTTGATTAGGTAGCATTATTCATTTTGGACTAGGATTTCTTTCATCTTCATTTCAATTGCTTCTTTTCCACTAGTAGTATTAATAGTAATGATATTATCTGGACTTTTCATTCGATGAAGCATTGTCAATCATTATTCATTTTAGACTAGGATTTCTTTCATCTTCATTTCAATATATTTATTTCCACTGGTAGCATTAGTAGTTGTAATATTATCTTGATTTTTCTATCAGATGAAGCAATATCAAATGTTATTCATTTTTGACTAGGATTTCTTTTATTTTCAATTCAATTAGCTTTTTTCACTAGTTTTATTTTTAGCAGTAGTAGTAATACCTGTAATTTTTATTAAATGACGCATTTGAACCATTATACGTTTTTGAATTATTTTTCGCTGGATGTTTCTTGCGACCAAAGTAACTTTTTATAGATGCAAATTTAAGTATGCATTATCAAAAATTACCACCTAGTTCCATCAGGGCATCTCAAATCATCCATGCCTATCGCCCTGACTTCTTTTTTTTCTTCTTATATCTACATTATAATTACAAACTATTATTTTGGAAAGTGAGAATTTAACTGAAATATGTTGGAAAATCACCAAAATTTCTAGCAGAATCAAGAAAAAGTAACTTTGAGTAAAATGACCTCAATGTAAGGAAAAAAATGATGACGTCGGTTTTAACTGACACCAAGAAGATATTGATTAAATTACTGTGAAAATTTTATCTCTCTATGACAGTTTGTTCATTATCTATCTATCTATCTATTTATCTATTTATCTATCTATGACAGTTTGTTCATTATCTATCTATCTCTTCATATATATATATATATATATATATATATATATATATATATATATATATATATATATATATATCAAGCTATCTTACTGTCTGCCTTAATTTTTCGTTTTCCATCTATCTATCTATCTATCTATGTACCTATCTATGTATCTATCTATGTACCTATATATATATATATATATATATATATATATATATATATATATATATATATATATATATATATACATATATATATATAAATATCTCTTTAAATCTATATGATATTAAATTAATATCTATCTATCTATCTATCTATCTATATATACAAGTATATAATTGGTATATATGGAATGAATTCAATAACCAACAATTACTATTCTTAAAAGAGTGTCAATCAAATACAAAGTAGAGTAGTTAGAAAATCACTACAAAAATATTTTGTTATTAAACAAAATTTATAGTGATTTTATAACATACTTATGTTATAATATTTTTTATAAATAATAATTATATATATATATATATATATATATATAATATATGATCCATATATATGTATATATAAAATTATATTATATATATATATATATTCAAATGTATCTTTTACATTAGTCGGACTATTGTCCTCATCTTTGTCGCCATAAAACGTTTTCGGCCGTTGTACGCTCCGGCCTTTTCAGGTGGTTGGAATTTCGAACTGAACCCCTTTATTTCGATCGCTTATAACTGTTTAATTCCACGTGCCATGTTTGATGGATGTCAGTTATAGTTATCTCCTATAATTTTCCCTCTGAAAGTTCTATAGGAATTGAACTCACCTTCTTATATATGGATATAACCAACGCCTTTATCCATGTGCCATGTGTATGAGGATAGATGAGGACAATAGTCCGACTAATGTAAATACTGTACAATACCTCATCTCAGAAATATTTTATCAATCTGACATTATTTTATATCTATCTATCTATTGTTGTGTTCATATCAATTTCAATATCTTTATTCATATGTAGGCTGCAATTTAATCTGACGCTATGTTGATCTGAATTCATGGTATGTGATTTCGTCATTCATTAATTTTACTCCATTTTTTTTATGCCTTTTTACATATATTTTCCTTGCTGCTTTTTCTTTTCTTCTATTTCTTCTTCATTATTTGTTTTCAACTTTTTTCTTTCCTTCTTATTTTCCCTATTTTATTATATTCATCTTTCTTTAATTCCTTCTTATTCTCTCTCACCTGTCCCTTATTTCCATTCATCTTTTCTCTTTCCTCTTTTTTTTAGTTTTCTTCTTTCTTTATTTTTTCTTTTCATTTTAGCATTCTCGCAAAGTTTCTCTTCATTTTCTTCACTTCGTTTTTCTTTCTTTCTTTTCTCTTTTTCTACTTTTCTTCTTCCTCATTTGCGTTATATTTTCTCTATTTTATTCGACTTTCTTTTTTGAATATCTTTCTTTTTTTTTCGTCTATTTACCTTTCTTTCTTTCTTTCTTTCTTTCTTTCTTTCTTTCTTTATTTTCCTTTACTCTTTCTTTACCATATTTATTTGTCTTCTTTCGTTTTATTCATCTTCTTCATAAATTATTCATTCCGGTTTCGGTAAACCTTAACGTTTCCTTTTTGTAAATTCATTTTCATCTCACTTTCATTAATCACTCTTGTTTGCTTTCTAAACTAAATCTTCCTCTTTTGCTTTTCTATGGTGCATTTTCGGTTTCCGGTCTAGTTTTGCAATCCCCATCTTGATTTATACGCTTACTCCCCTTTATCTCCTTGTTCACTTTCTATTTTTCTTTCTTTTTTTAAATTCTTTCATTATCTATTTGTATTTATTGGTTAATTTCACATCTATAAAACTGGTATCTATATGACTGGTATAACTTCCAGATTTAAATATTATTCTAAGTGGTGTGGGCATGGCATTAGAAGTAAAAAAAAAACTCTTATACATACATCATAGAACAGTAAATAAGGAAATTGAAAATTTTGTATATATGTCGTCGTTGACGTCTTCGTCACTCCAATACTAAAACAGAAAAGATTCGCAACTGCTTGAATTCGTTGTTCATCTCTATCTATAAAAGGCAGGATGTGTGTGTGTGCGTAACGAATGCGCGGCCGCAATTTTCGACGGATTTCCACCAAAATTTACATGCATATGCTCCAAGTTAGCGGGAAGGCCAAGACCGACATCGTATTTCCCAACTCCCATCGATAGTAGAAATAATCAATTTTTTCATGCTTCTACGGCAGTTTTCATGTAGTTTGCGGCCATTTTGTACTGGCCAGAGTGAGAGCCTATAGCTAGCTGCCACGAATAAGCAAGGAAGATTCTATTGGCCAGCGTGAGAGCCAACAGCTGACTGACATGAATGTTAACTAGCATGCAAAAAAATCGATAGCTGCATTCGTCACAAGTGGGAAAAATTTAAATCTGCATGGCACTTTACTCCAATTGGCTCATTCGCTTATCAACGTTGATTCTGATTCCGCAGAACTGGGTTGGAAGTGAAAAAGTATTTGTTGCTATCATTCTTTTTTCATTCGGTTTTTCCAGTTACGAGTCCTTTTTTTAAAGCTGATCGTTTTGTGTTCATTTTGTTTAGTTCTTTTTTCGTAACAGATTTAATGTTTAGTATAGTGGTTAGAAAAAATTCGCAGTGTGAGATAGGCAAGAAGTAAGGCATGTAGCAACATCAGCACGGAAAAGGGCACTCATTTAAAGGCAAGGAAGTGCAAAAATATTTTAAGTCAAGTGATAGCGATTGCTGTATGAGTCGTACGATTTTTGAATCAAGCACGGGCAACGCCGGGCCATGCTGCTAGTTACTTATATTCTTGCTACATATATATATATATATATATATATATATATATAGTATGCAAATTAGAACAGCTACTGCAATTCAAATGTGAAACAGTGACACTTTTGATAGTCAATATACCCAAACAGCCAATTAATCAAAACGACAAAAGCCATCTATTGTCGATCCCCAGTAAGGCACACAAGAGCCAATGGACTACAAACGCTTCGGGCTAGACATCCTATTCAGTGCATGCCTGCTGTTCTGCAGATTCGTTTCTTTTCTAATGATGCAAACAATAAAAATAGATTCAAATTCAATTACAAAAAGAAATTCACAAAATAATAGTGTATGCCGATCTGTCTGTGTGATATCTTTTCACTCGAGATCTATCCAAACGATTTTGCCCAAATTTGGCATCTTCATTGTAGAATGTCAGAGATAGGTTCTTAGCTTAAAAAAAAACGATAATTTTTTTTAAAAAGTCGATAATCGATAAAAATGATCAAAAATCTATAAATTCAGTTTTTTCTTCCGATTTCGTTAAAACTCGCTATGTAGGTTACTTACACCATGACGAGGTCAACGATACCTCTGATTTATTTCTACGCCACTGCATTTAGCAAAAAAACTGATGTCAAGACAAATTTTAATCTAAAATCTCCCTCAACTTTCAAGCAATCTAATACAAACTTCACTCAATTATAGTCAACAATAAGTTGATTATTTAACCTTCATTTACCTTGATAATTGAGTCCCCCATGTAGTGAAAACCTGCGTAAATAGCGAAAAATGGCGATTTTTAATGGTTTCTTTCTTATTGTTCGTTGATCTTTCCATAAATTTTCATCAAACTTAACAATAGCTTTATAAATGTATCCTCTTTTATATCGCTGATAGCACATTTGAAAACTGAATTGCAAAAACTCCAAAATAATTGTGGTTTAAAGTGGGTCATCCTGTAGCCTATTTTACCCGTTCATGTCCTCGGTTAACTTCGATTGAATGAATACAGACGACTTCTTTATCTATCTGTAACTGCATTAATTCAAAATGTTTTTAATGAAATGTTTTTTTAATGAAAGTACTTTAAAGTAATTGAAGAAGATAGACGCTGTTACATCTAAACAGTTTTTGATCCATTCTAATTGAACGCCTTTTCTGACCGACCAGCTGGGTATGACTGCTAGTATACAAATAATGGTAGTCTGTCGTGTCTGGATTGGCATTAACCTCATACATGTTTGAACAATTTTTTACGAGCCCCTTCTCGTAAGTTAGTGTACTGATTACGAGATGAGTTATGCTGATAATATAGGTATTCATAACTTGGATAAGAAAGATCCAGAAGAAAAAAATCAGCATTCCTTACCAAATATTCAAAAAAAGACTTAGGATAAACCTTTCTAAAACAGACGATATGAAAAAAAAAAATGAAATTAATGACGGTACTTACCATATATGAATCATAAAATTTAAAATGACTAATTATCAAATACTTAAAAATCCAAATACATCCCTGTATGGATCAGTTTTAATAATTTTAGTATACGATATAAGGAAACTAGAATTAGAAAAAATGGGCTGGAAGTAATTATGCACAACACGTTAAGATGTGTGTAAAACGAAATATTAACCTACAAACTCAAACTATGTTCTTAACTCACATTGTCAAATCTGGGCTCACATACGGATGTCACGACTAACGTTAAGAACTAAAACTGTTGTATCGGAGCAAGGACTAAAAATGGCTTAAAGCCAAATTAACCCTAGTTCTTAAAGAAAACAATCCATCATCAAGTTTTACCAAATAAGAAAAACCCCATCACTGGAACACTTCCGACAGCAGCAACAATAAAAAAAGAGGTAGCCCGTGTAACGAGAACGGAAATTATTTATATACTGAAGATATTAGTTTTCCACACAAGACTTGCATAAACAAAAATGGCTTACTGTTGCAGGATCTGCACAGTCTTCACTTTCTACTCTGAATAACGTTCAAACCGTCTCTGTAGCTTTGTAGGTGATTAATCATATTGCACACTTAAACCTCTTTCGTACACAGAAGAAACGTTTCAAGCTTCTCGCTATTCCATGAGAAATCTTTAGACGAAGTATATTCATTAGATCAACAAATTCTAATTGCTGGAATTTTGGGGCTGGTGGTGAGCCAGCCAAAATAAGATGACTCATTTTATAGTTCACCAATAGAAGGGTTAACCAATCAGAAGGCTCAAAATATTTAATGCGACATGTATAAAGGCGGCCATGTTTCTTTCAAAGAATATTCACTGGCAGCCTTTGATATCGAAGACTGAAGAATTACAGAACAACTACTGGTTCTTTTGGAGATAGAGGCGGATTCAGTAGAGTGTCGAACTCGTGAGTATTAGTCTTTAACGTTGTTTCATTGAACAGATTACGTACTATGCTGTATTCTATATTTATAGACTATGGTGAACATGGTTAACACTAATCATCACATTTCAGACGCGCAATGCCATGGACATTGTAATGAACCACCATCAAACTCCTTATATTCATTTGGTTAGATGTAACTATATTTATTATATTATGTATTTATATGTAAATATTTTTAGATTGATAGAATATCTTGAGGATAATAATGATTTACCAATAAAAGTCGTAAAATAAAATCTGTGGAGATATGATATGGAGTCGTATCTTTCCCAGGATGTGAATCGTAAATGAATATAACGAACCCGTTTGGAACTGGATCCGAGCATTTATGCATTACACCACCGCACAGCCAAGCTTGCTACACCTACTTTTCCCAAGTGGTCACCCATCTAGATCTTGCCTGGCTCGACGCTGCTTAAAGGTGATCCTACGAGAAACGGTATATAGCAGCGATATGGCTGTAAGCCTTATAGGGATTAGGAAAACATCCTCGTGGGAGTCTATTCCATAATGTAGATGTTCGTAGAAAGAAAACTGTAAATAATTATAGAAATTATATTCAAGGTGTATAAGCTCTCCATACTTTTAAATCTTGCACTGCAAGAAAGGTGACAATGCCACTAAAACGCAGTTGATTAATACGAATGAAAGAGAATGAAAAGAATTTAGTGAGGAGACAAAGAAAGAATAGGATTCAGGATTGCAGAAGATAACGATTGTCATTGCCTTTAACATTTTGAAGAGTGTAAGTGTCAAGGGAAAAAAAAAAACGAAAAAAGTTCCACAGGTGAGAAGTGCGAGAGAAGAAACTATTAGAATAGGACTTACGGTTGCGTATAGTTAGTTCAGCAGTGAAACGGTGAGACATACTTGCCAATCTAGTAACACATTAAATTCATTCAGTCGAGGCATCAAGAAGGAAAGTAATATTTATTTGAAATCTTAACTAGTTCTCATATGTACAATTTTGTCTGGGGCAATAAAAACAACTTAAACAAATGAAACACCAATAGAAGAAATTAATATTTATTTTGTAAAATATAAAAATGAGGCACAAGGACAAAAGGAGGGATAGGATAAGTTGATCTTCAATTTGTTTTTCTTAAACTTAGCTAGCCACAATTACTGACCCAAGCATAACACAGTAATTCTTACGCTAAAAGATCACTTTCTTACTTGCCATTATTACTACACCCACCATAATACCTCAAGTCTCCATAAAATCTTAACTCGTTGTCATATGTAAAATTTGTCTGCGGCGATAAAAACAACCTAAATAAAATCCTAATCAAAAAAGTAATATTTATTTTGTTGGGCTTATAATAAACTTAGGTAGCCACAATTACTGGGACAATTATATTACAGTATTTCTTAAACCAAGACATCACATTCTTACCGTTCTTACCATAATACCTGAAGTCTCTATGAAGTTCTAACTAGTTTCTATATGTACAATTTTTCAAGAATAAAGCCTATCAGAACAAATGTCATGTAAATATTTGTAGAAATGACAGAGAGAGTCCACATCACAGCGGTGGATGGTATCGAGATCTTATTTATTTATTAGAAAATATTTAAAAAAAAAAATAGTTCAATTAAAAACGTACTTTTTTCTTGAATTTAATGTCCACCAGACGGGATTGTGTGAGATAATTGTTAACCAGACGTTAGCTCGAAGAAAAATCAGTCATATTCATTTAGAATCTATAACTAACAACAAACGAAGAATACGCAACATCTTGTACACACCCTCGATAGTTTTAGATATTAATTTCATAATTAACTGTCCGTTTTTTCTCCAGTTCTTCATTATTTTATTTTTTTTGGCAGATTAATTCTAATGGCATTTTCAATTAAGGTGCATGTTTTATAATACGGACTCCCTGGACAGAGGTTAAAATCGGATAAGGTATCTTAATTCATGATCAACTTTCACTGGGCTAAATTTAAAAAAAAAAAAAAACGAATGATAATCTTTCCGATCCCGCTTGTAATAAAAATCGTTTTCTAACATTCGCAGATTGATAGAAACAAAGAATTATAAATTTAATTAAATTTTTTTTTTTTTTTTCAATTTTCAAGGATTAAAAGAAATTTGGACAACAGGAATTGTACTTTTAAAGTGGATTAACAGACGCAAAATAATAAATTTGCATACAACATTTTGATCAAATACTTTTCGGATTAATGAAAGGCCAGACGACTGGATTGGTTTAGACAGGGTTCTAACCATCGCTTAGATAGGGTACAAGGCCGAACATATCTGCCAGTCAGTGAGGAGCGAACTCAATACTCAGTTTCAATTGTTCTAGCCAGATAAGTTTGCTAAGTGTCACACCACGTTCTAGCCAGACCAGCTAATCATTACGCCACATCAAAATCCCCCGATAATTTTCTCTCGCTTAGATGTAACACAAGGCCAAAAGTATCGGGCACGCTGTGACGATCATTCTCACTTCTAAGTTGTCACTGTTCGAGCGAGAAAAGCTTGCTAACCAATACACCACGTCGAAATGCCCTGGTGATTTTAAGCAACGTCGAGCCTCATCAGTACCGGGATGGGTGACCGCTTGGGAATACAAGGTTCTGTCACCCCTAGATATGCGAGCGATGTATTGGATAATGACTCAGAATTGGAAATTCAAATGGCGTTATATTCAAATATCCTTTGGAAAGGTATGAATCCACCACTTGTTTCCAGGCTATGGATAAGACCTGTATCATTAAATCATTATTTTCTAGAAAATAAAATTAAAAAAAAAAAAAAAATCCTTACAATCCTAAAATATTTTCTGGCTTTGAATAATTTGCAAATTCTTAATAAACCGTAGAAAACGAATAAATCAAATTAAAATAGTTCCCACGCCCTTGTGGGTGATGAATTATTTTCCTTTCTACAACTCTTTTCTCGTAGACCAACACTTTGTAAGCCTCTACCTACTCTATCGCTATTTTCACGGAGTTTTTTCAAAAGATCTAAACAGAGTCCTTAGTTGCATTGGTGCGATGTAAGTTCCACTCGAGCAGATTATAGTGATTTGGAAAGCATCCCCTTGGGAGTCAATTTTATTAGTTAGAGTTTCGTAGGAAGAAGCTGCCTGAATGGAACTTATATCTCACCAGGGAAATATGAAAGGAATGTGGGCGGTTCGCTACTACAGTGTACGGGGTATGGCTGGTCTTAGCCGTAAATGTGTCTTTTAGGACTAAGGAGAATAATTCTTCTGAATACTCTCCCTTGACATATCGATACTCTCCATGGACATAGCGATACTCTCCATAATCTTTATAGACATATCGATACTCTCCCTGGACATATCGATACTCTCCCTGGACATATCGATACTCGCCATACACATAGCAATATTCTCCATAGGCATACTCGCCATGGACATAGAGATAATCTACCTGGACATATCGATACTCTCCTTTGACATAGCGATACTCTCCATGGATATAGCGATACTCCATAGATATAGTGATACTCTCCCTGGACATGTCGATACTCTCCATGGACATATCGATACTCCCCATGGACATATCGATACTCTCCATCGACATGGCGATACTCTCCCTTGATATAGCAATAAGACAGGAGGTTTCCAAAGTCTCGTCTGTGAGGAAGCGGTTGTATGGTGGAAAATAATTCGTCACTGACAAGTATGAGAAAATGTTTTGGATTCTCTCGAGAATGGAAAATGAAAACTGGGCAACTCCTGCCTATATATGGCAGCAGTACTCCTGATCTGGCTATTGTAATGGTAGAGGATAATAGCAAGAGTCAGATATTTACTTGAAGATTACCATGATTGGGGAAGCTTCCTCTTCGGAATCGGTTCTACAAAACAGAGGTTCGTGGGAAGAAACTACTCGAGTGGAACTTACATTTCACCAATGGAATAGGAAAGCAATGTGGGTGCCTCGATACAATGTGCGTTGCATGGCGGATCAGGCCTGAGGGTCAGAACTGGTGGAACGAAGGAGTGTAGGCCATCTGAACACTTTCTGTGGAGATAGCGATAAGCCAGTGACAGGCTTGCAATGTCTCGTCTGTGAAATATTTGTTCGCAGAGTGGAAAATGATTCATGACCCAGAAGTTGTCTCAGTTTTTTCCTTATTATGTAAATATTTTCTTATCTATCTATCTATCTATCTATCTATCTATCTATCTATCTATCTATCTATGTGGCCTTCTTTGTCTGTTTAATATATTATATTTAATTTCATTAGTCTTCAAATTTGTCAATCTGTCTGCCTGACTGTGTATCTATTATCAATCAATGCACACAATGGTCGACACTTAAAACAGTTTAAACAAAAAATTGTTGATGCGTATTGATAATATTCTGTTCACCTTAAATACCTGAAATTGCATAATCTTATGTATACGGATATATTATTATTATTATTATTATTATTATTATTATTTTCTTTGATTTCTGGCGTTTACACTTTTCTTTCCGGGTCCTGCTCAGAGACATAAGGTTAGAAATGGCATCATGACACTTTCCACTGACAAAAAAAAAAAAATTAAAAATTAAAATTACATAGATAAAGCCCTTCGTAAAGTGTGGGCTGTACTTGTCAGAACAATTTTTTGTATCTCCTTGAGCCATGGACTTCCAGGAATCCCTTCAATTAGTCTACTGCTATCTTTTCCAACCAGTCCTAGGGCTCCAACCACAACAGGGATTGTTGATGTTCCCATATGCCACATTTTCGAGATTTCTATTTCAAGGTCCTTGTATTTTGACAACTTTTTGAATATCTTCAAAGATACATTGCAGCCAGCAGGGACTGCCATATCAATAAGGAGACACTTTTTTGTTTGTTGTCTTTAATAACAATATCTGGGCGGTTTGCCTTGATTGTTCTGTCAGTGTGTATTGTGTAGTCCCATAGAATTGTAACAGGTTCTATCTCCGTAACCGGTCTGGGTGGTGTTCATACCAGTTTCTTTCAGTTTCCTTCCCGTAGAAGTTACAGATTTTCCAGTGCAGATATTGGCCCACTCTGTCATGTCGGGTTTTATATTCAGTGGGTGCCAACACCGTGCAACGTGATACAAGATGATCAATCGTTTCTGGATATTTATCATAGAATCTGCATTTTGGGCTGACACAATATTTTAGTATATGTGCTTGATAATTCCTAGTTAGCAAGCATTGCTCCTGCGCAGCAAGGATAAAACCTTCAGTTTCCGCTTTCAACCATGCACTACGTAGCCACTGATGGGTACGGGTTTTGTCTACGTCAACTTGTTTGGTACGGGCAGAATATTGGCCATGAAGCGGTTTATCTTGCCATCGCTTCTGTATCTGGTAGGTTGCATTCGTATTTGCTGTCTTTTTTTAGGTATTTTGCAGTTTCAGTCGGTGTATTGTGCTGTACTTGCATATCTACACCCATTTGAAACTCATTATTATTATTATTATTATTATTATTATTATTATTAAATCTATCTGTATCCATATAAGTATCTTAGAGTGTTTAAATCAATAAATCCGCACACAGACACACACACACACACACACACACACACACACACACACACACACACACACACACACATATATATATATATATATATATATATATATATATATATATATATATATATATATATATATATATACGTTGTTGCGGAAGCCTAACTTCACGTTTCTAAAAGCACATTGAACCGAAGATCACACCAGTATTTTATTGACAGTATTCTGTTCACCTGATGTACGTGAATGTGTATAAGCTTACCCTAACGAAGAGATGTTATTATTATTATTATTATTATTATTATTATTATTATTATTATTATTATCTTTATGCTTAAATCTACCTGTCTCCATCTATATAAGTATCTTAGATTGTTTGTTTGTATCTATCAATCTATTTCTTTTCTCTTTTTCTCTCTCGATATATATATATATATATATATATATATATATATATATATATATATATATATATATATATATATGTATATATAGCTACGTTGTTGCAGAAGCCTTTCTTCACGTTTCTAAAAGCATATTGAACCACAGATCACACTGGGTCAAGTATATGCTCAAAAATCCCGCACACTGGACGGAACAGCATTGCCTGCAGGCCACTGGAGGTGCCTGCAATGACCCATTTGTTTTAATGGAATACCTACCTTTGCATTTCGATGACCAGCTTGCTGAAGTCAGTCTACGATGAATGTATCCATTAGTGGCTTTTAAATATCTACCTGAACAGGAAGGAATTGTCTGGAGGAAAGAATTTTTCTTGTGAAGTTGAGCAATAAAGGAAAGTTGCAGTAGACATGAAAAAGAGAGAGAAAGAAAAAAAAAGTCAAAATGAACTGAAGAATCCTGGGCAATATAAGAGGTAAGCGAATTGGTAAATTAATCCCGACAGTATGTTTAAATAAATCATAAAATTCAGGACGTTGGCGATCATTGCGCTTTATTGTTTACTTTCTTTTGTAGCTCTTAATAACTTTTGTCATTGTCTTCTCTCTCCTAAATCCTGCTCCGCCATCCAATCGTTCAAGCCATCTAGATAGGTTATGTGAAGCATTAATTAAAGTGAAATTTCGAAATCCAGCGAAAGTCATCCGTGAAATAACAATAATCGATTGTACGGAAAGTAAGGACCTACGTGAAATAAATTGTCTTTAAACTAAATGGCGGCAGGAGAAGTATCGTTGAACGTTAAAAAGGTAAGCTTAAACATTAATGCAATACTTAAATGCAGAGATCAATTTTGGGTACCTCTGTAGTTTATTGTTGACTATCGCATACGGCAGCAGTATGTCTAGCAAAAAGAAATTTCCGTTTACAAAGGACCAGATTGCAATCAAAAGAGCCAAAGTTGCAGCGAGGAAAGAAAAGTCTCATGCAAAATTCATATGAAACGGCAACCAGGAGAGTTTATATTTTTTGAGAATATGTAATGACTTACGGACTCTCAAACTACTAAACAAGTCAAAAAAGCCCTCCGTGGGAGATAGCTTAATTGCTGTCCGATATGTAGGAATTTTAGCTAGTATATATATATATATATATATATATATATATATATATATATATATATATATATATATATATATATATATATATATATATGTATACTCAACATATATATCACGTGTTATATTTATTTCGTAAGTTCAATAATTATTAGGGACCCAAGGAAATTGAAATCATTACCTGCATATCCAGACTGCAGGTTTGATTCGCGGGAGCGAAACCGGTTGCTTCCCCCCCCCTTGTTGTTGGTTTTTTTATTATTTAATATTGTTTTAATATGTCTTGTAATATTAAATTTTATACTTTTATTTCGATCATTAAATTTTGTACCTACAAAAATATCTTTAAATATATATATATATATATATATATATGTATGTATATATATAAAATGGGGAGATAGAGAGCGGATGAAGGAAAGAGGCCTTCGAGAATGTGTGGGAGAGAGAATACACTATAAAACGTATAGAAAACCTACGAGAGTTTCCGGTATAAACGGCATCCTTTCTGGTAGGACCTTACAGTAACCCAGTTTTTCACAACTTTTTTAAGCAATGGCACACCTAGTAGCAAATAAAAATACCGTGACACACCTAGAAGCATATAAAAATACCGTTGCACACATCGCAGCAAATGAAACACTCTGGTACACCTAGTAGCAAATGAAATACCGTGACACATCTAACAGCAAATAAAAACACCATTGCACACCTAGCAGCAAATAAAAATACCGTGGCAGACCTAGCAGCAAATAAAAATACCTTTTCACACCTAGCAGCAAATAAAAACACTGTTGCACACGTGGCAACAAATGAAATACCGTTGCACACCTAGCAGCAAATAAAAATACCGTGTCACACCTAACAGCAAATAAAAACACCGTTGCACACCTAGCAACAAATGAAATACCGTTGCATACCTAGCAGCAAATGAAATACCGTTGCAGACCTAACAGCAAATAAAAACACCGTTGCACACATCGCAGCAAATGAAACACTCTGGTACACCTAGTAGCAAATGAAATACCGTGACACATCTAACAGCAAATAAAAACACCGTTGCACACCTAGCAGCAAATAAAAGACACCGTTGCACACCTAGCAGCAAATAAAAATACCTTTTCACACCTAGCAGCAAATAAAAACACTGTTGCACACGTGGCAACAAATGAAATACCGTTGCACACCTAGCAGCAAATAAAAATACCGTGGCACACCTAACAGCAAATAAAAACACTGTTGCACACCTAGCAACAAATGAAATACCGTTGCATACCTAGCAGCAAATGAAATACCGTTGCAGACCTAACAGCAAATAAAAACACCGTTGCACACATCGCAGCAAATGAAACACTCTGGTACACCTAGTAGCAAATGAAATACCGTGACACATCTAACAGCAAATAAAAACACCGTTGCACACCTAGCAGCAAATAAAAGACACCGTTGCACACCTAGCAGCAAATAAAAATACCTTTTCACACCTAGCAGCAAATAAAAACACTATTGCACACCTAGCAACAAATGAAATACCGTGGCACACCTAGCAGCAAATAAAAAACACCGTTGCACACATAACAGCAAATAAAAATACCGTGGCACACCCAGCACCAAATAAAAATACCTTTTCACACCTAGCAGCAAATAAAAACACTATTGCACATCTAGCAACAAATGAAATACCGTGGCACACCTAGCAGCAAATAAAAATACCGTGGCAAACCTAACAGCAAATAAAAAACACCGTTGCACACCTAGCAGCAAATAAAAATACCGTGGCACACCCAGCAGCAAATAAAAATACCTTTTCACACCTAGCAGTAAATAAAAACACTGTTGATGAAATACCGTTGCACACCTAGCAGCAAATGAAATACCGTTGCACACCTAACAGCAAATAAAAACACCCTTGCACACCTAGCAAAAAATGAATTACCGTGGAACACCTAACAGCAAATGAAAATACCACCGCACACTTAGCAATTGTTTTTAATGTTATGGTATCAAATCATATATTTAAAAAAATATCCGCACACAAACATGAACTTACTTTATTTCAATGTTTCTATTCAACTATTAGTGAAACTTATTTAGTGGTAACAATATGCCTGATATTTTTTTTCGCAATTCCTTCAATGCCTTGTCGAATGTGACAATATTTTGCGCCAAACCTATGCGGTTGAGAATTACTGCTGTAAATTTTAGCCCACGTCTGATATTTGTTTCATAATTCCAGGCCAAGCTCTTTGG